ATTTGCTGGGTTTCAGGGAACCCAGCAACTGGGTTCGATGAAACCCAGTGTTGGGTTCTAGCGTACCCAACAACTGGGTTCGACGGAACCCATCAAATGGGTTCCGTCGAACCCAAATCTGCTGGGTTCAATGGCCTGCGAGAAAGAAGAGGAAGAAAAAGAGAAAGGAAGAAGACGAAAGTTTTTCATTTTTTATTTTTAAATATAAATAATGTGACTTGGCACGAAAAAATAATCCACATCATCAAAAAAAAAAATCCACATCAACACGTTTTTAATTTGTTTTTACCACATCATCAAAAAAATAATAAAAAATGCCACATAAGCGAGTTAACGATCGAAATTAACAGAAGGACTAACGGAGTGCATTTCTTAGAGTTGAGGGATCAAAAAAGTGCAAAAAATTGTTGAGGGATAAAAAAATGTGCAACTCACTAAAGTTGAGGGACCAAATCTAGCATTTAACCTTTTTTTTTTTGGGTAATGAGAGATATCTATCTCTAGCTTTAGGGTACATGTTGCATTTCAAATTTCACTCCCCCAACAACCACAGATCCAATCTAATGTCTTAACTTTCATCTTCCATGCCATTTCCATCCAAAAGCTTCAAGACAAAATAGAACATGTACAGAGAGAAAGAAGGGCTTGGCTTTGGTAGATTCTTCTTCTTTTCTCACCTCACCATAAAATGGTTTTCTTTGATAAAAACATCAAAGTTCGAATTGTGTTCACAACGTTCACGCTTTGTGTTGTCCACAAATGAAAAAAAGAGAATGAAAAAAAGAGAATGTTCAAAGCTAAATATAATGGGAAGGTCCGTCCACTTTGCAGCTCAGCTGCCTTTGTCCATTCCAACTTATAGTCGTACAGAATCATATAGCCGGAGTGAATGAATTAAAATAATCATCTTAAGTCCTAGCTATGTCCTATATTATGAGCATATGCATTTGAGGTCTCCTTAAAAGTGTACTCTTCATCTTCCAATGAGTGGAGATAGACAGATTGATCCAACAGTCGTTCATCCATCCATTGCTCTTTTGCAAGAAAGGTACAGACAGTTGGAGAGAGCCAAGGACATGAGGCTGGAGAAAGAGCTCTTACGGATGTTGCCTGAATCAAGGCAGATCAATGCAGCTATAACTTATGTGCCATCTAGATCGCTTTTCCACCCTGAACTCATGCTTTCACAGCTGTCTCTTTAGTGTACAGTCAAAAGAGAAGCCAGTATGCAGAGCAGGAATACCAAGGTTCAGGCCCTTCAGACTCAGACTCCACTATTGGAGAATTTATGGTCCAGAGACACTGTCACATGCACAACTTACCATGATGATATTTCAGATGTTGATACTTCGTCTGTGAAAAAGTATTGCAATGTTAGTCTACCTAGTAATCCTGCGGTTTCCTTCCGTTTCTTCTTCATGGGGCAGTAAGAATATGGGAAGGAAAAGAAGGTGCTAAAGAAAAAGAAAACAGAATATGCAATGTAGCTAATGGCCATTATCTTATGTATCTTCAGAACTACATAGTAATCAGAAAGGCAATTCTCTTATCTCTTCTGAAATGCATTCTCATCATAGGTAATGTTATCCAATTTGTCACCGTTCCCTTTCCTCTTCCTGATTTTGGGAATCAATCGAGTTACATCTTTGGCCTCTGACATTACTCCCCCATTGTTTATCTGCTCAAAACAAACAGCACTAAGCTTTTGGGCATTTGCAGCTAATTAATATCTGCACCAGGGACAACGTTTCACTTACATTAATCAGTAATTCAATTGTGTGCTCAAGATTTAGAATTATTAGCCTATACAGTTATCACATGGATAATTTATTTTTCCAGAAAAATGTTTAAACTTGAATGTTACACAAGAACAGAGCATATGAATTATTATTATCAGTTGCTAAGTTTCATTTAGCAAACTAAGCCACCAAATGAACCATCTCATAGGATGAACAATATAAAAGCAGATTCCTATATGAACAAATGCATGCCCCCATACTAACATTGATTTCAGAAAGTTACATGTGGAAGAGAGTTAAGAGACTGCATGATTGCTAGCTACGTTTATTTTCTTTCTGAAGTTTTTTACTGAAATCCATTCAGTGCTTTTACCCTACCGCAAGTCTATATATTTGATGCCTTTCCTTCAAATCTTGATGATCAGATCCATCTTCATCGTGCTTATCATCATCATCATCTTGATTATCCCTTTTGAGGACAACTTTGATGGGCTCACCAGCCCTAGGGATGTATCCAAATACTTTGCATACAAAACCAGATACTGTCTCATACTGATGTTCCTATAGAATAGCATGGCTAACAAACAACAATGAATTAGAAATATGAAATTTAAAAGTTAAAAGAACATTTTGATAGTTATTTACAGTATGAGATTAACTGTGCCTTTACTTCAAAATGAATTGAAACCCACATTGCAATTTTAACCATTTACTTTATCCTCTCTCCTTTTTCTTTTTCATTTGTTTTTTAATTTTTCAAGCAGCGGTGACTTAACCATAAAACATAATAATCCCACAACAGTCACAATAAACAGACTTAACCATAAAACATAATAATCCCACAACAGTCACAATAAACAGACTTAACCATAAAACATAATAATCCCACAACAGTCACAATAAACAGAATTTCACTCGCAACTGGGATCAGAGATATCAAGTTTATAAGCCTGGTTATTTTTAAGATTCCTACATTTAACTACTATGTGGCAGAGAATGAAATTTTAATGAGCCTGTGGAAATAGCAGAAGTGTAAAATACAAGAAATAATCAGAGGTCGAAATGATCCTAATAACTGAGTCTTTAGCTTTAATGTTTAAATTCTCCATTTAGTGCTCTATACACCATAACAACGAAAACCAGTAATAGTATAGAATAATATACCTCTGACATTTCAATATTCAAAGTCATCAGCCAATAAATAGATGTATGGGCATGAACATCATATACTCCCTCTGCTCTCATTACAATATAGCCAGTTTTCTTGTAGATCTCCTCCTGTTAATATAATTAGCAGCAAATGCATAAAATAAGAATCACTTGAGAATCACTATACATATGTATAAATGAATCACTTAAGAATCAAGCAGAGCTGAACCTTGTAACACTAATTGATATGAGACCTATAGAGTAAAGAAATATCTACAAGACGTGAGAAGTGACATGAAATTCCTTGGTCACATGGAAAATACAGAAAAAGTACATGCCAAACTAAATGAGACCAGAAACTGGCGACATAAAGCCGCATCTAGATCAATTGGTCTGTAGAAAATTAGCAGCACATGTATAACACCAATTTGTTTTGGACTTCATCAACAAGTTTTCTTAGCATCCCCTTGCTGAGGAATAATAGAATCCAATAGCTAAAGTTATCTATATAATTAAAAGACTTGCCCCCAATAACAGATTCAGTAACAGAACATTAAGGTCATTAATGAGGTAATTAGGCTTACCTTTGAATCATTTTCATCAAAGATTTCTCCAACAAATCTCCTCAACCACATCTTCTAAGGTTACTATCTGCTCCATCAAAAAATGAGTACATAAATATATAAAATCAATCAGTCAATAAAATGAGCACAAATACTGTTAAATAAGCAATCCAAAAGAGAAAGAAAACCCATGCATAGTAAGTTCTAGACTTTTTGTGTTCTCATGCTGCATATTCCACTCTTATCTGAACTTTAGAAGAAAAATGATTTCAAAACATATGAGAGAGCATTCGAGTTTCAACTGCAGGGAACTCCTTTGTCTCCTTTACCATGTTGAACCTGATATTAGTGTTACATGCCAAACCTTCTGAAGTTGTAAGATTTGAATAACATCCTAAAGCTAGAGGCTCATGAGTTAAGGATTGAGGGGTCATATCAACCATTTAGATTTTAAGTGGTCAACATATTATCCTGTTTGACTTTTTACCATCATTTGTTTTATTGAGTTTATGTTATGGCATTTGGATGCCAACAAACAATGAACAAATACTACTTTAAGTGGGCAAAAAGAACAAGCTAATAAAGAATAAGAT